TTTTTTAGTAGTGGTTACTAGTATAAGGCACCAGCTAAGCAACATAAGAAGTAATAAGTAAATTGAACTTCATTGAAAATAAAAGTTTTTGAGCATTAAAGAATTCACTAAGAAATTGAATTGACAACTCACAGAATGGAAGAAAATATTTGCAAATCATAGGTTATAACTCAGAAATGACGGTTACCCCAAATATAGAAAGAACTGTTACAATTAAACAACAAAGAAAATTCAATAAAAAGTGTTCAAAGACTTGAATATGCAGTTCTCAAAAGATCATTATGTTTGCAAAACAGTCATCATTTATCATTTATGATTAAGGATTTGCAAATCAAAGTCATAACAAGAGACCACTTTATGACTAGAAGGATGGCTATAATCAAAGACATGGACAATGGCATATGTTCTCAGGGATAAGGACACACAGTGACTTGGGGAAGGAAATGTAAAGGATGTGCCTACTTTCTAGCACAGTCTGGCAACTCCTTCCATGTTAGACACAGACTTACTAAATGACCAGCAATCCCACTCCTAGGTSTACACCCAAGAGAAACAAATGTAGACATGCACACAAAAGTTTGTATATAAGTGTTCACAGCAGTGTTATTCAAATAGCCAAAAGTACACGTGACTCACTCAACTAACAAAATAGATTAATATATATGGCATATCCATCTAATGGAATGTTGTTCTGCAATAGAAAGGAATGGAGTACTGATAACATGCTAYAGCATGAATGAACCCTTAAAATATTAGGCCAACTCAAAGAAGCCAGTCACAAAAAAAGACAGGGTCTCACTTAAGGCCCTGATTTTACCGTTGATGAAGAAAGGTCACTTGGCACTTTGTCCCATGTGCAGGCAGCCACACACCTCTCCAGGCACAGTTAGAGACAGGCTCATTGAAAAGTTTCTAGGAGAAGCCAGGTTTCACAGCATGCTTTGCATGGTTCCTCCTCCAAATTCCCTGGTGCCACAATTTATTTCAACACCTATTCCTCCATCAGGTTCTCCAGACAGAAGGCAGCATCTTCCAGAATATTCTTTGTCATGCCATGCCATTTTCCTGCCCAGACTTCTCCATTCCTGCCTTCTTCTGGACCTCACCAGAGAGCCAATTTCAAGTTTTCTCAGGGCAGATCTCACTGCTCTCGGGCAGCAGACCCTGCAGCCTCCAGCTGGTCTCCTTAGAGGCATGGGCTAATGGAAGAGAGGGGACTCAGGAAAAAGTGCATCATGTAATTTTTATCACAGAATTTTCCTATGAGTACATAAAGTATATTCATGTTTTGAATAGAGGTTTACTTGTCCCAAAAGAAGTTGTCATTTCTTATTCTCAAGAATCTGTCACTTTAAAACACTCGAACAATAGGAGGCCACACTTGTCATATTTTTGACCTTCATAAAGTTGTATGTTGAAAAAAAAAGACAAAAAAATAAAGTTGTATGTTGTCCTCTGACCCAATATTGATATAGCTAATGGCATAATGGGTCATTCAACCAAAATTTAGGCAAGGATTTATGAACAGCATGCCATCACCAACCAAGCCCCCCCAAATGAATCCTCAAATGGACACCTCACCAGACTGGATATCCCAGGATGTGGCTCTGTTACCGCTGTTTACCGATGATGAGTCCTTGCTTCCCCAATGTTGAAGTATAACACCAGAGAAGMACACTGAGACAAGTTTAGAGTGGAAAGTAGAAGCTTTATTATAGGACAGCAGAAAAGACTTCTCCCAGAGGAAGAAGGGGACCCAAGAGGTGGAATCCTTGGAAGGGCAATGTCTTCCCCTTTTTATAGCTAAGGTCTCCATTCAGCTTTCCCACATTCCTGTCGCATTCCTGTCCTTTGTTCTGTTAACTTTCAGTGATGGAATGCAGGTGGGAAGGCCCAAAGGGTGGAGCACAGGTGGGCCAAAGGAGTAATCTGGACAGGAAAGACTTTTGGATTAGCATCTCCATGTTTGCTGGGAGCTGTTTCATTAACATTTCTTTGGGAGGAGTTCTGGGTCTTGGGGACATTAACATTCCAAGAGTTGTTCTGCTTTTCTTGGACTCCATTCTCAACATGGCCTTCATTTTTTATTTTATTCGATATTAGACCCAATTTATCTAACTACAATGACTACCTATCTTTAAATCTGGCTTCAGCATCATCTGAAACACCTATTGAAATCAGGCCACATGCCGTCCTCACTGAGAACCCACTTGTCTGTTCCTTTAGACTCACAGTTCCCTCACTAGTATCCCTCAGTTGTTTTCCATTTTAAACATTTTATTGTGGTTAAAATATACATGATGTAAAATTTGCCATGTTAACCATTTTTTTAAAAAATATTTTTTTGTTGTTGTAGATAGATACAATACCTTTATTTATCTATATGTGGTGCTGAGGATAGAACCCAGGACCTTGCACATTTTAGGTGAGTGCTCTATCACTGAGTCACAACCCCAGACCTCAAATTTTTTTAAACACAATCCTTTTACTCAATATTGATACTCTCAGGTCAATAGCATATTTAAGGAATATTGATATCCCTGAATATATGAATTTAATTCATTTCAGCAAAATTCTACCATACCCATTTCCTCTATTGTAGAAGAGTAGATGCTGGCCAAGTGCTAGGAAATATTTCAGGCCTTTGGTAAAACCAACATTGAATCAAAGAATCCATTTGATGAATAGAACATTAGAAAATAATTCAGGTCTAGTTGTTGTTGGTTATCTATTTGGGGCTTTTATTTCTTTGATAATGGAGATATACTCATCTCCTTTTTAGATTATTGTTAGTAGTTATTAAAACATAATCATGGCTGGGGTTGTGGCTCAATGGCAGTGTGTGTGAGGCACTGGATTTTATTCTCCGTACTACATATAAATAAATAAAGGCCAATCAACAACTAAAAAATGTTYATAAATAAAACACCTAATCATATACCTATCAGTTTAATTCACTCATTCTATATGTAAAAAAGGCTATTCATTTAATTATAACAGCTCAAATATCAGGAGGATTCTTCTTTAGTTGTGGGAATTTTGATTTTTACAATAACAGCTGAATTATTTAGGTAAAGTGCATACAAATATGTACTGTATATATGACTTCATTTTTGGATTTAATATTTCCTTATTTTTCTATAAATTGCCAATTTTTAATAGTTTATTTTATTTAACTGTCATTTTTTAGAGCTGTAAACAATGTTGGAACCTGATTCAATAAATGGTGTCATTTTTAGAAGGGCCTTTCAGGTTTTTCTTCTGAAGCTATAACTTTTTATAGGACTGTATCATGGTATTTAGGCATTTCAGTTCTGTTTTTAATCTGAAATTACCTTATTTCCAGTTTCTTGCTGTAAAACATGAAATATACTAGCAACTATTTTCCTGTAGTAGTTAGGGCAGAAGTAGTTCTGGATCAACATCAGTGGGGGATCATCAGTCCATTTTATACACACCATGGATGTAGACTACCATCCACTCATTTAGGGCAAGGAATGTTTTATGCTGGAAAGTAAAAAACTATTCATATGATTGATTTAACAACAAGTGTTACTCTCAAGGCAAAACAGATTAGATTTATTGAACTTCTAGAGTTTCTTTTTCAAGGCCCAACATTTTTCTCATTTAAATTAATTGTGGGCTCAAGTATCATTGAATGTCTTCACTGGCCATCAATTTTGATAAAGCTGCTGCTTATATTTAAGAATAAAGTTATATTATTGCATTTATTTTAGACTTAAATGTATACTCTTTACAAAAAACTGAAGAGCATATTTAACACTTGAAAAAGCTTTAACCACTAATTCTTAATCCTAATTAAGATTATAATTATAAATAAAACACCTAATCATATACCTATAAGTTTAATAAATGTTTTTAATAAATGTTCTTTCTTGCTTTCTATCAGGGAAACATTGTGTGAATTGTCATCTCTGGACTGGTGCAGTTTTGCAAATTGTTATTTATTTGCAATAATCTAGAAATTGAGATTAAAACTTGAAACACTTATAGTAGTTTAGCAGAGTCATTTTATAGCTATCAAATCTAACAATAACAAAATTTGAAGTTATGTCTTTGTTTTCATTTTAGTGTCCTAATAATCCATTTCTATTTTACAAATGTCTCCCTGAAAACAAAACAAAGACTAGGACACTCCACATATCAGTGAACCACAGCAAAATGGGTATAAAATAATGGGTATAAAATATAAGACTGTATATGTAAGGGAAAACAGGGACAGAGTGAACAAATTATGGTTTCCAATTTCTACAAGTTTTCTAAGAACTGAATTTTTTTTTGTTTGTATTTGAAATCTCCTATTTCCATGACATGTATAGTTGCTTTTTTTCTGATTTACTCTTAACAGGCTCTAGTTATTCTTTTTTTATGGAAAAAGTAGCTGATTTTTATTATTATTGCCAAATAAGACTTTAAATCAATTAAAATCTTTTATTATGCATAAAGTTACTTTCACTTTTTTTTTTTTTAAGAGAGAGAGATGAGAGAGAGAGAGAGAGTTTTAATATTTATTTATTTTAGTTCTCGGCGGACACAACATCTTTGTTTTGTATGTGGTGCGGAGGATCGAACCCGGGCCGCACACACGCCAGGTGAGCGTGCTACCACTTGAGCCACATCCCCAGCCCACTTTCATTTGTTACAATCACAGTAAATATGTTTCTTTGTATTAAAAGACAGCCTTTATTTGAAGTCTAAAATATCCCCACCTGCAAGATTACATATATAAAACTCTGTTTGTTTCTCATATAATAGTGCATTAATCAAATTAAATGTTATACTCTCTATAATAAGATAAAATGGAAATAATTTACTCATAAAATTTATATTTAAACTATCTTTATTTTCAAAATACTATCCTAAAAATTATATTTCCATTAAGCTTCAATTGGAGCAGAAGTATAATCACTTAAATAAAAGCAGTTACTTAAACTAAAAATGAGAGATAAAATACTTTTGAAGGCAGATAAAAAATATTGTCAGGTTTCTTGCTGTGCTTCTGGGTGTTCAGTAGCAGGCTCATTTGAAGGTGGAATCAATCCTAAAGGATACTCACTTCTACTTTCAGGATGCGGGGGTGAGTGGCAGGGGAAGAAATCCAGCTCTCCGGGGGAGATAATGAGGAAAACACCGTGGTTCCATTGGGAATGGAGGGGGTGGTGGACCCAGTGGAAAATATTCTAGAGATGCTCCATACATGTTTCCTGGAGGAGGTGGAGGAAAAAGATGTCCTTTTCTCATAAACTGACTACTTGTATCCACTGGAAACAGTGGACTTCTGATTGGAGGGAAAGGTGAGAAAGCAAAGCCAGAGCCAGTTGCTTCATTTTCAACAGGGAGAGGTGAATCAGGTACCTTGGACTCACCAAGATCAAATTTGGTATCATTTCTACTGGATTCAATATCTGAAGATGTAAACCCATCCATTTTATCCAAAGGCAGCATAGTGGAACTTTTTAATTCTGATCCAGATGGTCTACCACGATTAAAATAACATCCATCTTGCTTTTGTAGAGGAAGCTGTGGGTCAAAATATGGTTGGCCTGGTGGAGGGATCATTATATGGGCCTGTTGACATGGAGGTGCCAGGGGCCCAGTGTCAGAAGGTGCTCTCTGAGGATCAGTTAACCTACCACAGTTTGATTCTCTTCTTTCATTGCTAGTCAGATGGTCCAGAGAATTCTCTGGGCCCCTTGAGGCTCTTCCTTCTCCCACTGGCACCAAAGGTTAGAGTCTGAGTGGACCATTCTTTTCCATAAGTGGAGATCTCATTTCAGATAAAGGTTGACCCAATGGTGAGGGACCATTTGGGGAATGCTGTCTGTCAGAATCTATATTTGAAATATCAAGTGTAGAAGGATCTTTTTTTGCAAGTTTAAAATTGAACATCATTTCAGTTAATTTTTGTCTGTTGTGAGCATTTTGTTTTCTTAAATCATTGAGGTATCTTTCAGCACTCTGAGCTGCCAACTTATTACCATGTGCTTTTTTCTAATAGTATATAACATGCCCTTGATAAAAATGAATGGTTCTCTCCAATTATTCTTCAAGATCTTTGGCTCGCTTTCTATAGGTCTCCAGCAGTTTAGTTGTATGGCTGATCTTTTTTTACACTTTGGAAAGTTTCTCCTCTTGATCTACCTGGTTATTTTTCTCTCCTATTAATTTTCTTTGGAGTTCCATTACGTTTTCTTGATATAGTTCCATCATGACTTTAAGTTTCTGCTGAAGACTGATGCTTACTTTCAAACTGTGTATTTTCTGCTTGCAAAGATTCTTGTTCTGTCTTAAGATTTTTAATATGTTTTATAACGTCTTCCTTTGTTTCAGTTACTTCAGATAATAAGGGAAAAATTTGATTTCTTTCTCTTTCCAAGGTGTTAAAAGAGGCCTTTAACTTAGCAACATAAATCAGTTTCTTCAAAGCCTCTTTTGGCTGATCTTCTAAGTGAGCACAAATTTCAGATTCACTCTCTATTTCCAACTCCAAGTTACCATCATTTGTTGGGACTTCTGCAAGCACAGGAGCCCAATCTTTTATCTGCAGCAAGTGTTCAGTCAGAGACTTAATGTGATTTTCTTTATCTCTTAGAACTTGTTCTGCATGTACTTTAGAGTGTTCAAATGTCATTTTCTGTTTATTGAGTCCATTCACTTTTTCTTTCCATACCTCAACTTCTTTTAAAAGCTGTTTCTGACTTTCCTGAAGTTGGGAATTTTCATTCAAAGCCTCTTTTATTGCTACTGCAACTGCTTCTTTATTCATTTTAAACATTCTCAAGGTTGTTTTAGCTTGAAATCTGAGGGATTTTGATTCATCTTCTAGGGACTTAATTCTTTTTAATATATCCACCATCAATTCATATTGTTGAAAATGTTTAGTTTTCTCTTTTTTAAGCTCTTTTTCTAAAAAGAGTATTTCAWCCTCAAGTTTAGATAAAGACTTATCCAGGTTTTCATATATTATCTCCAAATTTTCTGTTTCTACTGACTTCTTCTCCAAAATGGCATCCTTTAAAGATGACTCTAAGCCTTCATACTCTTTTTGAACAAGGCTAACTTTTTCAAGTAGTTCACATTTTTCTTCAATTAGTCCAGTGTTAGAGTCTGTAAACAAGTCTGGATGGTGCCTGGCATTTTGCCAGAGGGAGTGGTTAATGTTAAGGTCTGTAAACAAGTCAGGATGGCGGCTGGCATTTTGCCAGATGGAGTGGTTAATGTTAAGGTCTGTAAACAAGTCAGGATGGCGCCTGGCATTTTGCCAGAGGGAGTGGTTTGTGAAGTAACGCCAGTGAGCCATTAAGTGTGGAGATTCCTTATTGGTTGACTGCTRTATCTAGTTTATGTTAATTAGATAAGCTGTGTGGAATGTATAAATACTGCTCCTGTCSTACAATAAACGGCTTCCACTCCTGCTGTATCAATGTACACAAGTTGTTCGTCACCCCCCCCCACCCCTGCTATTTTGCTGCAGCCGGACTGCGGCAGTCCAGAAAGTTTTAGAGCAAGCTTTTCTTCTCTTCTCATGTAACACCTGCTTCTCACAGACTGATAACTTCTCCACAAAAACAAGAGAACAACAAAAAATACAATACCTGTACATATCACCAACTCCCACGGACAGCCATAAGGACTAGGGTGTGTTTCCATGTCTTCAGACAAGGCAGACCACAACCCTGCTTACTTCTTCCAGGACMACCTCCATGTTTGGCTGAGGGGCAGCTGTTGCCCCTTCATTACATTAAGGCTACTTTGGCTATTCCCTCCAGAACCACACCATGCCCAGCCAAGCTGAAACAGGCTGTGGACACTCAGGCCTTAGGTTAGGAACAAACCTGCACCAGGCAACAGAGCAGACCACTGTGAACCAGTGAGGGGGGAGGGGTGTAGGCATGGGCATGAGGAGCCCTGGTCATGGGCTCCCAGGGGCCTAGCACACTGCCTGTCAGAGAAGTCTTGGCGTTTTCACTATGTTGTGCATCTTGAAGCAGCACAGGTTCAAGCCTGCTCCAATCAAGACAGAGAGAAGTCCTCTCCAGGTCACCCACCCATTGGTTTGGTTTAGGCCAGGCCAAGGCAGAACTTCTATATAGTCATAATATCACCCAGTTTGATGTCACTAAAATTCTAAAGCTCTGTAAAATTTTTAAAGAGCTAGTACATCATATATTTATATTTGTACCATTTACCCTTGTGTTTCAATGTCTCATTTCTTTCCCTCTCCTCCTGTCACTATTCTTTTTCCTTCCTTCCTTATTTCCCCCTTTCCTTTTCTTGCAGTGTTGGTGACTAAATTTCAAGGCCTAGTACATACTGGGCAAGCTCTCTAGCACTGATCTACATCTCCAGGCCTGTTGACACTTTCTATAGAAGCCATGTGAATTATTGCCATAAAAAAACTCTCATGTTAGGCTATTTTTTTAAAATTTTTATTTCTTACATACATGAAAATAGTGGAATGCATAATAATCATAATTATTGTGTTAGGCTATTTTAAAAAGTAATTTTAGAGGAGTTGCAAACATGGGCACAAATCAGTTTGGATAAGTTATTTTTAAGTAGTATAGCATATGTAATGTTTCTAAAAAGAAGGAGCTTAAAACTTGAGTTGGTTTTCATGTCAGTTTTTGTAGACTACTATTTATTTAAGAATCTTCAAAATCTTTTTTCAGATGTTCTTTTCATTTCTCATAGGATGTAAACACTTCTAAGAAAGCTGGTCATTATAAATATATAACAATGAGAGGGCTAAGATAAGTGAGATCCTGCCTCAAACCAAACAAAATAAAATGTTACATGGGATTCTCACACAGACATGGAACACCAGGGTATTCAATAGGAAGCAGTGTTTATTTGTGTGCATCCAGCCTCAGTGGATTCTTGTCCAAAGGCATACTAACTTTGTCTTCATATGAGGTAATATACATTCCTGTTTGGGCATTCTATTTATATACTACAAAGTAAAAGAATATTCAAAACTGATTTCTGGAGGGCTCACAATGATACAGATGGCATCATGTTCTMTTTCCTTTGTTCTGAGAAATCTGTACCACAAAATGTAGCTCAGTGTTAAAACACCCCTGGCTTCTATTCCCAGYACGAAACCAAACAAATGGCAGATGCACTTCATTTAGGGCAGAGAATTTAGTATTATAATGAGCTTGATTGAGCAAAGTTTACCCTAGTGCCGCAGTCTGGCTGGGTACAATTCAGGAGCCACTTGTCAAAAGAAACTAACTTTATTTTTAGAACTACAAACGCCAAACAAAACAGCTCCTCAGGAAAAAACCCTCAGAGCCCAACTGCCACCACCAACTTCCACAAGCCTCTCACCTCCACCCCCGCCTCCCCACCTCCCACAATCCTCCTGCTCTTGAGGCCGATTGGCTGGGTTGCGTGGGCGGAGCCAAAGAAGTCCCCCAATGAGCAGCTCCGTGGTCTGAAAGGGCAGGGAAACAGCCCAATGAGCAACTCCGTGGAGGAGCCAATCAGCTAGATGTTGCTGGGGCCGCTGTGAGCCAATCATCAGCTGGCAGCTGGAAGTTTGCTGGCAGCTGGAAGTTTGCTGGGGCCCCTTTGGCTGTGGCTCTCAACACCCTAGGTCACTTAGAAGAGGAGCTGTGTATCTTTGACTGATTTAAGCTGCTTCTTCCAGGCCTTTTCTAAGGAGCAGTTTCTGTAACAAAGAAACAACTTCAAGTGAAGTTAGCAATGAGCAGCTCTCTGCCTGCAATCACAAGTGTTCCTAAGTTCCTGCTTGGCAGCTGATCACTTTGCAGACTGTTTGCTGGTGGGAAGAAAAGTCTGAAGGGGGGCAGAACTTGACATCTGGATCCCTTGTGGGATGTCCTTCCTCTTAGGCTATTCTAACCAACTCCCTGGCAGCACCTCTAGTATCTGAGATGCAGAGAGTTTGAATGGCCTCCGAAGCTAGGGCTTTGAGCCCTGATCCCAGGACCTGAGCTCACTCCACATCCCTGGGGTTGTGGTTGTTTTCTGGGGCACCTCAAGGCCCTGATTTTGGAGGATTACACTTCCATCCCAAGTCTGTGCCCTCTAGTTYACTGAGGGCTTCAATTGCAGTACCTGGAATTGGGGAGGTTCTCCAGGCAGGGATTCAGTCTTCCTAGCAGTCTGTCTTGACCTTGACCCTACAGAAGGCAGTGCCCTTGGGGCTACCCAGTAGACCACCTTTGGGCTGTTACTTATGGGGTTGAGTCTTAGCAGTTGTTGCCAGACAGGCATTTCTCCCTTGTGCCCACAATTTTCCTCCCTGAGTTAGCGGTTACTCTTTGATGGAGGCTGAAGGCTATCTAGGTGCCAGCCACTCACTTTTCTCACTTCCTCTGCCCACTAGTATCAGAATCAGCTTTCTCTCTCACAGCCCATTGCCCAAGGCCCAGGAGACCCAGGAGGCTTTAAAGGCTAGTTGTGTGGGAGTGGGTGGGGCCACTCTGAATTCTGCAAAGGGACACCATGGTTTTTTTTGAGAGGCTGCAGTGATAGGAATCACCTTCATGTTTTCTTCTAGACCATCTTGACAGTGGGATTGTGATGGATGCAGTCAGGAATTCCTTTAAATCAGCTGTCATGTGGCTAGAAATGGAGCCAGAATCCTGTAGTCTGGGGCTAGAGAGGAGAAAGCATATTGGGGCACATTGTATAGGAGAGAAATTGCTGGTTAGCTTGAAAACACCTCTGAAGACCTTCCTGGGACACTTGGTGAGAAGTGCCGAGAGGACAGGCAGGGCTCCTGACCCACCAGTTCATCAACCATCACTGCTCAATAGCCATAGATTCAAAGCCACATCTTCATGCTGACTGCAAAATAGTGACTGAAGTACAGAAGGCCAGTGCAGTTCAGGTCTTGATGGGATGATTTCAGGGTCCAGCAGTGATGTCAGGCTTGCTGGCCACTCACAGGTGTTAATCAAGAGGTGGTAGCTAAGTTCTCCAGGCCATGAGTGTGRATAAGGGCAGAGATACAGCCTGATACAAAGATCTCCTTCATGTTCTGGGACTTCTGACCTATTCTGAGTATCACAGCTAGGTTCTGGCATGAGCAGGATCTTATGTAACAGAAGAGAAACTGTCACCAAGAGAGGACTTGTGAGTTGCCCAAGTCACAGATCTCAGGAGTGGCTCAACCCAGGTTAAATTCAGGCATTGTCTCTTAACTCAGTCCCTTACACACTCAACTCAGGGAGCTGCTGTCAGAGGGGGGTCAGCAGCTCTAGGGGATGGTCCTGGTGACCACTGTGTCCTGTCCCTAGTGGAAGGATTTTGCACTCACTGTGTTCTGTCATCCTCATAAGTAAAGGTGATCTTCATGGTATAGGAGAGAAAATAGAAGCCCTAAGGTGTGCTGGGATTTGGTAATGAGCACATAATTAGTAAGCAGCAAATAGGGACTAGACCAGGGCATCTACATGCTCTTTATTCATGGGCCTGGCCTCATGACTTCTTATTGATGAGGAAACTCATGGAAATCAGGACTAGACCTGCCTGTGTGGGAGGGAGATGGAGGTGGAAGGTGGACTCTGACCCACTTCCTGTGTCTGTAACACCTGTGAGATTGGCTTTGACTACTGTGGGTCATGTTCTGTGGCCTGATGGGGAATCCAGCAAATGTTTTTCTTTCCTTTTGATATTACCATAATGGGAGGTTGCTTAAAATTAATTTTTTTTGTAAATGTTTAAAATTTATTTATTAGTGCTGGGACCAGATCCAGGGTCCTTCTGCATGCTATGTACAGACTCACCACTGAGCCACTTCCCTAGCTCCTGATCAAATTTAGGAGGAAGTTTTCCTATTTCCAGAGGTTAGCCAAGATGAACTTAATGAATATAGTCAATTCCTGAGACTAATGGGAAAAGTATTTGCCAAAGAGTAAGATGTGTAAGTTTTCTCTATCACTGCCAATTTCTCTCCTCAGAAGGCTAGTGTTKATATACATCATGGCAGTGTGAGTGTAYAAGAAGCCCTCTTGAGTGCTGTTAATGAGCCAGAATGAGTTTCTGTTTCTAATGTCTTGCTGCAGGGAACACCCAGTTGCTATGTAATGACAGGACATCTAGTCCAGGGCTTCTCCTGTCTTCAGGCTAAAGAGTGACTTTTAAGCCTGTCCAAACTGTTGCACACCAACACTGGTGTCACATACAATGGAAGTGAGTAACTAAGTAAATGAAGTGGAAGAAGCCAAGGACACTCTCAAACCAAGCCTGTGGGCCATCTGCTGGATGGTCCTRTAGGGGTCCTGTAGAGGATCCTAGGTGTTCAGCGTGGTCCTCTGTGCTGAGCATTTATGAAACACTCATGGTTGTGGGGCAGCAGCACCTCAGCACCTCCTCCCAGGTGGAGGAGCAGCCATCACCCATGTGAGTCCCCAGTATGCTGTTAGCCAGGCCTCAGACAGGTGGCTGCTCCTCCTGAACAGCCCCCTGGACAGGTACCTGATACAAGGTTCACCAGAGCCTTTTCCCAACACTGAGGGCCCCAAAGAGCTCTGTTTATGTGGGTGTCCTCTTTCATATTTGCCCTGATAGAAATTAAAACTGAGAAATTTAAACAGTAATGTGTTCATTTATGACTTCATTTGAAGGTAATATAAACCTATTAATGTTAACAAACATTATATTTTTTTATTAACCTAATTCATTTATTTTAATTAGGTATATATGACAGCAGAATGCATTTTGATTCCTTCTATACAATTGCAGCACAACTTTCATTTCTCTGGTTGTACCCGATGTAGCATCGCACCATATGTGCAGTCATACATATACCTAGGTTAATGATGTCCATCTCATTCCAGCATCTTTCCTCTCCCCATGCTCCTTCCCCMCCCTCCCTCCCCTTTGCACCATCAAATTTTTTCCATTCCCCCCCATTATGGATCAGCATCCACTTATCAGAGAGAACACTCAGCCCTTTTTTTTTTTTTTGGAATTGGTTTACTTAGTATAATATTCTCTGGCCCCATCCATTTACCTACAAATGCCATAATTTTATTCTCTTTTAATGCGAGTAATATTCCATTGTGTGTGTATGTATGTGTGTGTATATATATATATATATATATATATATATTTCATTATCCATTCATCTATTAAAGAGCATCTAAGATGCTTCCACAGTTTAGCTATTGTGAATTGAACTGCTATAAATTGGCTGCATTTCTAAGCCATAACCCCAGCCCATGTTAACCATTTTTTAAGTGCACATAGAATTCAGAAGTACTAAGTACATTCACTATCACCACCATCTGTTGCTAGACTTCATCTTTATAACAGAAACTCTACCCGTGAAATAATGCCACCCCACTGCCCCTCATCCAGTCCCCTGCTTTCTGTTTCTGTGGGTTTGATGACTCTAGATACATCAACTACAGAATTACATACTAGGTGTTCTTTTGTGATTGTGTGATTATACTTAACATAATGTGGGGTGAATTACATTCCATTGTGTGGATGGACAACATGTTTATCCATTCCTCCATCAATGGATGCTTGCATTGCTTACACTCTTCAGTTCTGGGGAACTCCTACTTGGCATTTCTGGAAGCTTGAGCACTAGAAGAGGTGGGGAATCTACAGGAAATGAGCTGTGGTTGGGATCTCATGGGTCCATGACTTTCACCTCAATATAATCTGTAGGCAAGAGGAAATATGAGCTGATCCAGGTAAAGGCACTTGCAGTTAGCACAGATGCTACAGGCAAGGCCAGAACAACCTCTTCACTCTAAACAAAGAGAGGAAATAATGAAACTCAAAGACAGACTGATAAGAGGGCCCACACCTAAGGAAAGGGGAAGTGGAGCCACACAAAGAACCCTAAGAAGTAATGAATGTGAGTGAAGGATGAGCAAAGCCCAGGTACACCCTTCTTCCCAACATCACAGGTTGCACCTGCCATCCTTTTCAGTTGATGAACAGAAGGTTTAGTGTATACTACATTTAAACACTCCAGTTTCCAAGATCACTGCTACCTGCACCGTTTAACAGAGGAGTACCTTTTACAGACTTTCCTTTTAAAAAAGTTCCTTGAGTACAAGGGCTGAGTCTAACCTTTGCATGTCCCAAGGTGCCTGATGCATAGTCAGCACTGGGCCTTTCTGCAGTGTCAGACTGAGGACAGGGGTCAGGCCCAAGAAGCAAGATGTAGGAATCCATCAGTTGGAGGAAGATGCAAGGCACTGTGGGAATATTGGTCATCCTTTATTCAGAGGTGGCAATAGCCCCAGGGTCATTTCCATATTTCTTTTTAATATAAAGGCCAAACAAAAAGGGCACATTGCCAAGAAGCTGGTGCATCCCCACAAGCAAATGTTTATGACCTTGATTACATATGCTGAATCACCATGTTTCTGACCTTGACTACACACTGACCATAAAATAGCCCATTCATAGCCTCAGGCACTCAATAAAAGCATAACAGCTTACTGGAAGTCTGGCAAGGGAGCCATTTTGGCCCTGCCCCCAAACATGGCTTCAGCTTAAACACTGATCCCCTGCACACTGTTCGACAGTTTCCACACACAGAGGCAAGGACAACTTGTGCTTTTCTCCTTAGGAGCTGACAGCACTGACAGAGAGGATACAGCAGCAATAAGTTACTGGGACCAGCTCCTTGAGGGCAGTTTAGCATTATGAGGAGAGAGAGGCCTGGTTGCTGCTCACACAGAGAGGAAGGGCCTTGAGAATTGTGCTGGTGGTGGGAATGTGTTTTAAGACAGGATAAAACAACAATAAAAGCAAATGATTTTTTGCTTGCATATATTGTCAGAGGTTTTGATAATATAATAAGAAAAAATAATTATTTAAAAAGTCAGCTGACTGTTCTCAGGTGAGGTCTTCCAGGGCTTACTCAGGGGTATTTGCTATAAGCAATCAACCTTCTTCTTCCCTGATTATTAAGTCATCTTGAAAGCAAGACAAGGAACATCAATGAAACATAAATATTAGCTATCTGGCATTTCTTTTGAGATGATGAAGATTTGGGGGGAAAACAGACACACTGTAATAATTCAATATAGATATTTATGTCAGAGACAAATAGGTAAGACTGGAAGATTCTCAATTTCCTTCAATGTTCAAAACCTCTGTTTTCTTTCTATATTTAAGGTCAATCAATAGCACTTTGAAGTGAAAACCACTTTTGTTTGATAGCCATTTTTGTATTCGATAGCCATTTTAGTCCAAGTTTCCCATTGAAGGGGGAAAAATTACAATTATTTTAAAAATACAAAAAATAAGTACATAGTTGCTATACAAACAAAGTAAAGGACATTTGGAGACAACAGAGTGTCCAATATGCAGGCAAATCAGAACACAAAGTGATGACTTGTTTTTACTCTTTAAAGGTCTGCATCCCAGCCACATGGTATGGTGAGTCACTGAAGCTGGGCTGACCATAGATGGCTGCACTATCCCAAGTAAATATAAAATTAAAATAACCAAAATATAAAATTACATACTCATCAGGGAACCTAAAACTATGTATCACACTGATAGTATAACTACAAAGATGAAGGGGGGAAAATAAGAATTAATTTAAGTAACTTTAAAACCAATCACTCTAGCAGGATATTACTGGTGACATTTATTTTTWWAAAAAAATAAGCAACCTTGAACTGAACTTAAAAACTTGTCTATGCAATGTTAGGGAGTATGAGTCCCATRTGTACCTGGGGTTCAGGAGATGATATTCTAATCAACCAGGGTTCTCACTGTGGGAGAAACAGATGCAATGTGGAGTGGGACTGGATTGGATTCAAAGTCTCAGAATAAAATCTCAGTCAGTTGATTGATCATGCAATCAGTAGATTAGTCATTCTACCAGCTCTGTTCACTGAAAGGGTCTAGAGGCAAATACAACCCAGTAGCCATGACGACATGACTGTTCCCCTATCATTTTGTTTCCAAATGCCATCCACYATGCAAGATAAGGATCCTTGGAGAAATGGTTGATTTTTCCAGGGCTGGAGCAAGGAAARCACAAGCTAAACCCGCAGCATCCTGCTGAGGAAGAAAGTAAGAGCATATTCATCAACCCATGTGATATATCCAAAGGACTTGGGAACTGCTTCAATGGTCCCACTTGCAAATTATAAATGCTTTGAACACAAAAGGAATAAAATCATTATACAAAATTCATGTATAAAGATGTGAATTTGGTGTCAACATATTTTATATACAAACAGAGATTTGATAAATTGTGGTATAAAGATGTATTAAGAATTGCAATGCAAAAAATTATGAATGTAATGCATGTAATGTAACAAGTGAAAGAGTATTGGGAATGCAATATATGCAGACTCAGGTTTTGCTTCATAGATGGCTTACTAAATACAGAGGGAAGACAGGTAGCTTTGCAATACAGATGACATCTGGGTGACATCAGCATCACAGTGACAACACTGAACAGCAGTGGGCTGGGCAGAGGGAAGGGGAAGGATTAAATCAAGTCCCTCTGAGGTGGTACAYAGGGACATAGCACTTCCCTAGTGGGAACAATKACCTAAATAAATAAATAAATAAATGCATAATCATGACTCCAGTCTCAAAGGGATCAATCAAAAGAGTACATGTTCATACTTTTTTCAAAACAATTGTGAATGCCATAAAAGAGAACAGAAAGGTATGGAGAGCTTTTTATAGAAAAAGGGCTAACTAAGMAACCCAAAGCCATGAATGATCTATGACAAAATCTTGGATCGAGAAAAACAAAAATTCCAGTCACACAGGATATTATCAAGGAAATTTGTACAACAGCTCTCCATTAGACACAACAGTGTGTCAGTCCCTAAGTTCACTATAGAGCCCCCAAGCCTCCTCCACATGGTGCATGTCAGGTGCTACTCAGGGTCTGCTCATCCTTGTCTGCTAACCTTATCAGAGTTRAGATCAGCCTACCTTCTTCTGCTGTTCCCAGTAAACCCAGGGCATCTGGCACTTGGTTGGCTGCTGCCATGAACATTAGTCCTGTCCCACAGATGCTCCAGTACTTCCTTSGGGCACAGTTGGGACTGCAGTCTTCTCTCTTGAGGTCAGGCTTGCCCTGATTTCAATGTCTGAGTGAAAAGCTTATCTGCCACTTCCAGGCAAAAGGTCAGGAGTCAGTGCATGAAGCCACTCTTTCTGCCTCTGCCACCCTGTCTGGCAATGATTGGTTAGGGTCAGATGAGGAGGACGATAGAGCAGCCAACCCAAAGTGGAGCTTCAATCAGTCTGTGTCCCTACAGGCCTACAATGGGCTTAAATTCCTAATCATGTCCCTTAAGCCCCCTGACCACACTCGACATGTAGCCTGAATAAGAGTAAAGTCAGAGAGATACTGAGTTGGCTGTTATATTAGCACTCACCAGCTTATCTCAGGTGATACATGTGTGTTCAACTCTGAGTGCAAATTCAAATAGCCCAATAGGTTACCTAAACACCAAATAAGTCAGAGAGTTTACCTTTATATGTGGTGACACACCACATGGACAGGAGCTCTCTAGAGCCAGGAGTTCTGTCAAGTGGGAAAATAAGGTTGCACACCCAGGAACAGCTGAATATGTGCCATATTCTGAAGCCCCAGGACAGTTTATCACTATGTCCATGAGCCAAGAAAGCCCTGCTCTCCACCACAAGGACATAGGAAATGTGAGTCCCTTTGTGAGGGAGGAGGAAGGTGCCATCCTCCTACCCCTTCCTGCCTAGGGAATTCACTGAGCACTTGTATCTTTGATTACTTTGATTGCTGGGTAGAGCTGGACATTCTGAAATCCAGGTCAATTCTTTGTGTCTCTGAGAGCAGGAATTGAATGTGGGTGCCTAGCACCACAACGCTTGCCCACATTTTGCACTCAGGGTAGGGAAAACCCTACAGAGCACATCAAATGGGACACTGGGTGACAAAGGTGCTATATGATCAAACCTGGGGCCATCACATGCAAACATCCACTCAACTGTGTACACAATGACATGGGAGGACAACACAGGAGGCTGTGCAGAGGCTGCCCCTCCAGGGGCACACTGGGACCAAGCATARCAGGAAAATTCACTTTCTGCCCCTTGTCAGTATGGTGTGTCTTCCTGCCCATGTATGCCAATACAAGCACATGCTGTGAAATGACCTGGGAGAGGTGGGAAGACTTGGTGGGTAAGAACTGCAGCTGCTTGGTGAGGGCATGCCTGCCTGTGCATCCACAAACATGTTAATCAACCTTTCTGTGTCAGTTTTATCAGCTTGAAAATGGAATATGGACAGGGCCTCCCCAGGGCATGATGAGGATGTGATGATATAGTTCACAAAAAAACTCTTTAAAAGGCACCTGCCCCATGTATACTCAACAGGCATTATCAGTTGTTGTTACCTGTGTCAGTAATAATAGTAATATAATACAATTTCCAGGACAAAGGGGTAAGATCCATTAGGAAAAATGAAATCTAGCACCATGAAGAGCCACTCCATGTTTTGCTTTCATAGGGAGCAAGAAGGGATTTAGGACAAATAAAATGGGAATKAGCCTGGGTGATAATTAGAGTTCATCATTTGAGAGATTAAAGTCAGAAAACAATAATCACCTGTAAGTATCTAGTACCATGCAAAAGAGATCAAACTGAGTGAGCTGCGTCTCCAGATAAAACAAAATGATAGGGCACGAGAGCATTGAAGAATACAGGAAACATGGTTTATCCCAGGAAAGCACTACCCAATCCATAACCAGTATCTAAGGGGGATCTCAGGAAGCCTCAGTAGGGAATGGGGGTGCGGACACAGTTCTAGCTGCCAGAAACCTAGTGGTGAACTTGTGCAACTACAACAGAAAGGAAACTGACCCATTAYGGAGGGTGTTTCACCCAACCTCCCAATGCAGCAGGGGCTAGGCCCTCTGTGGAAGACACAGAAACACAAGCTGAGTGCAGAGACCCTGCTGCAGATGTGCCTGGTCTATTGGGAGGGTGAGAGTACATGGGAGGGATTTTGTGGACGACTGGGTTCATCACTCACGGGAGGTGGCATCAGCATGAGAAGAGTGAAGATGAGTGCCCTGGGGACTATGGGTGAAGTTCCTCATCAGAGTGTGTACTTCAGGAAAGTGGATCCTGGCACAGAGCTGGCCCTTTGCACCCATATTCAAGCAGTCATCTAAAGCAGGGCATTTTAGGACAACTGTCAGAGATGGCATTCACCCCAAACCCAGTTGGTGGTCTGCACTTCTTGCAGA